CTTGAGGAGGAAAATTAAGAGACAACCAGAGGGCTTTGCTAGCCACCATTATTTGCCACCGGCTAAATTTTCCCAAAATGCAGGTGAAGGTTTATTAATTATTCTTTTAGGTATTAGTTCTAAGTTTTGGGTCATTTTGGAAATTCCATCATGCATCTACATATGTAGACAATTTTTGCAAGTTTTGTATATAATCTTTGCGACTTCTAGTTAAATGATGTCTAAAGTTCTAAATAAATTTTTGCAAATGGAGTGAATTTGTTCTAAACAGCCTTATTATTTTCTTCTTCTTCTTCCTCACGTTGGATGCTACTCTGGGTAAAAGCCAGGCACAGGACAATTTGGAACTGATTCACAGCAGCCGAGCTCCAAGGGAACTAGCTTTGGAAGTCAAAAAGGCCATATGCAGCCTGTAGGGACACCAGATTCAACCATTCTAGGTGCCTCAAAAACCTTGTTTACCTATGAAGAGTTGACGGAGATAACAGGTGGATTTTCTCGCCAAAATGTTATTGGTGAGGGTGGCTTTGGCTGTGTGTACAAGGGATGGCTGTCGGACAGGAAAGAAGTTGCTGTTAAGCAGCTCAAGGCAGGTAGCGGACAAGGGGAACGAGAATTCAGGGCTGAAGTAGAGATAATTAGTCGTGTTCATCATCGACATTTGGTTTCTCTGGTGGGTTACTGCATATCTGAGCAGCATAGGTTGCTCATCTATGAATTTGTTCCAAATAAAACTCTGGAGCATCATTTACATGGTAAGTTGAATTCCTTGTTTGTTATTTATGTTGAGCTTCCTATCTAATTTCTGGGTTCTTATTGATATCGGTTTGTCTTCTCAGGTGAGGGACTGCCAGTGCTGGACTGGGTCAAAAGACTCAAGATCGCTATAGGCTCTGCAAAGGGTTTGGCATATTTGCATGAAGATTGTAAGTTTTTCTATTCAAGATCATTACTTGTCATAGAAATTGAAGGTGAATTATCCAGTCTCATCAGACAGTTGAAGGATGAACTCATCTTTCTCCTTCAACTTCAACTTTTGGCAATAGTAAAACACACTTGCCAGCCAGACAAATTATGCCTTCTTCTCTTCATGTCACCCAAGTTTATTTGGTTTGTCATGTCCTTGGTAATATCTTGAAGGGTGAAGTGGCCTGAAGAAACTATTGAATGATTTTACAATCTTGGATTTTTTCTTTGTTAGATCAATCCTAAGTCCATCAAGAGATGCAAAGAAAATGATAAAATTTCCAGAGTAATTATTAGGTGATCTCCTATAAATATGATTGATCAAATTTTTGCTGAAATATGTGAAAAAAAAAAATTTAGTTTACAAAGAATGTTACAGGATTTGCCAACTCATCTCTGCTCCTGAAGCATTTAGTAATTTTTCTATTTTTCTAAACCAAATTTTCTATTAATGGACCTGGTTCAAAGAGTACAACTTTTTCTACTCTTGAGCATGCTAGATTTTTATATCGTTGGTGTAGAACAGATTAGAATTAGATTTTCTAAATATATTAGAAATTTTAAGTTTTTCAAATATACAACTGTTCTCTAACTTTAGGATGTTACTCTTTTTAATTATTTAGTTTTTATTTTATTTTAATTAATATTAGTATTTCTTAGTGTAATTTTATTTGAGAATAGTTACTTAGCAAATGTTATAAATACCTTCATATTCTCTCCTTTGAGACGGAGTCAGTTATTCAACGAATGTGCTTTGAGCATTTCATCAAATTTCTAGTTATATGATACAGTTAAAATTCAAGTTGATAACTAAAAATTTTTAAGTGCGATATGAATAAACTTAAGTGTGATATCTAAGTTTTATCCTCAAAACCTTAGTAGACAAATTGACCATAATCTGTTGTTGCATCAGCTGATGCACCATCAAGCAATCCATTTATTCAGGTGATGATGATGGTCCTTTTCATGCGTGATAATAGGTCTATACTGCTTAAGGGAAAGCTGCAGAAGTAACCCCATAGTTAAGCTATCTTAAACTTATCCCCTTTATTTGAAAAATATATACTAATCCCCTTTTGCTAACAATAATGAACATAAAAAATTGAAATGACTATATCACCCATGTGTATAATGGGAAATAGCCAAAATTTTGCTTCTCTTTTGGTCATAATTTAAATATTTAATTATTAATAAGGTTACTAGACTTCAGTTAAAACAAAGTCAACATAGACGTAACATGTCTTTTATCCTTTATTTCTCATTAATACAATAGTTTTTTTCTTCCAGCAAACTAGATCTATTTTAAACTTTAGCATGTAGAATACAAATGTTAAAATTTTCACTAAATTTTAATTAATGCATTAAAAACTATATAAGAAATCAAGTTATTATGATACTCTAATCATCCAATATCAGAAAGTTTGAGTTTTTAAGGGTCAGATGTTTGGATCCAAAAAACTGTTGAATTAGTGGTTCCTGGATCCCAAGTGTTATAAACCTAAATGAATTCATGAGTAGTATAAGTGTCTCCAACTCAGCACTAGATCTAGCAACTACAATCATTTTCCGAGGCACTAGTTAATGTCCTAATACATGACTTGGTACAAATCCAAGACATCTCAAGATGCTCACAAATCTCCTACTGACTAGTCTGAGAGTAGCCCTGAGATTCAGTCATAAGGCTCGTAGCAGATGAAAGATATACACGAGTCACAATTAGATTAAATCTGAATAAAGTGAGGAGCAGAGGCTAGCATGGTTGAGGAGCACAAATGGAAGAAACAAACAGGAAAAGAAGGAAGAAGAGTAAGGGGAGAGGAAACAATCGGGTGAGGGGCAGAGGCTTGCGTGGTTGAGGAGCAAGAACAGTGTTGTCCTTCGAGCCTCCACACATCGCCAAGATATTGGCTTCTTCTAGCTGCACTCATCTCTAGCATCCTCCAAACCACACGTCAACTGGGATGAGTGATCATAATAAACATAATATACAAATGGATATTTATGTAATAGACTTATAAACAGATATATAGAATAACAAGGTGATAAATGGAATCTATACTGGATGAGTGATCATAAGAAAAACAATTTACAAAGATAGGGCAAGAGATGGATGAGGCTTTACCTTTTAGAAGGGTGTTGGATAAATTAAGATAAGGTGTAGAAGTATTAGGAGACAGAGAAATTGATAAACGAACAGAATTTTCATGACTGTCTACCGCGGGCCATGAGAGTTGACACTGGTGACACCTCATCAGGAATAATAAGACAGCGAAGGAAAATAATGAGAAAGAAAATAGTGTAACTTCATTATATGCTGGAGAGAAAATGTAGATGGGTCTTCGTAGAGATGTGGGAAAGAATCATTTTTCATTGATATTAAGAATTTTTACCAAAGCAACCCAAAATTTCAAGTAATATATAAATAATACTTCTCTTCTTCTTATGTGATCTCTTTGTAGGTCATCCGAAGATCATCCACAGGGACATCAAGTCAGCAAACATTCTTTTGGATGATGCTTTTGAGGCACAGGCAAGAGCACTTTATCTTATTAAATAAGATAATAAGTCTTTCCGTAATAGGTCTTTATTTAGTCTTTCCTTATTTAATAAGTATTTCTTTGCATACAGGTCGCAGACTTTGGACTTGCCAGGCTAACCGACACTACGCAAACCCATGTTTCAACTCGTGTTATGGGGACATTCGGGTAGGTTCATTCGAAGCTCTATTGAGAATGGACTTCTTTTGTCTGTCTCTTCTCGTGCATAGCCACTTTGAGACAATCAGTTAAGGATCTTTTGAGTATAAGAACTAAGGATAAACTTTAAGTGATAAACATGCTCTTATATATAATCTGTATTTTAATTTTAAATATCACTATTCTTATAATCTTTTTCTCATTAGAGCAGTATAACCTAATTCTTTGCATATCTTTTCCTCTAAACATATCTACTTGCACAATTTGCTATATTTTCCAAAAGCATCATGAATTTGTGGTTACAACCAATTTTTGCCTACTCTACATCACAAATTTCTAGGTCCTTGAGATCCCAGGCATGGTGCACTGCATACAGAGTCTAGTTTGTCTGATAAACTGACCAGAATTAATGCATAAACAACCAATATTTATGTGCATTGTTTTTTGGCTTTTAGATACCTGGCACCAGAGTATGCAACCAGTGGAAAATTGACAGATAGATCAGACGTATTCTCATTTGGGGTCGTGCTTCTGGAGCTTATAACTGGGCGTAAACCTATTGATACAAATCAGCCTTTGGGGGAAGAGAGTCTGGTTGAATGGGTATGGATGGACTAATCTTGACCTCGTCCTGGTTTATCTCTATGCATGTTGTGGTGCCTTTTTATTTTTGTTGAGTAGGTGAGACATTGCCTCCATGTATGGGAATCTACTTCCATGTGAGGTTGAAAGACTGGCAACTTAGCCTGTTCACACTGTAGTCCCATTTATTGCATCCATTTTAAGAAATTTTAATTTGCCCTCTCTGGAGGGTTTGCTTGTGCTCTCTTTGACCCAATGTTTGGATTGAGAAAAAACAAGAGGAAAGAAAAAGGTAAGAATGAAATGCTCACTTTTTCTTATTTTTTGAATAGTAATTTCTTTAAAAAATAGTAATAGAGAGAGGAACTGTGAGCTTTGATAGAACAAACTGATGAGCCTGAAATAACTCAGACTATAAGAGATTTGATCCTACAACAGGAAAAGGTCAACAATTGCAAGAAAGTGAGTTATTTTATTATTCATATCTATCACTTGTTGGTGTTTTTAGAACAAACAAACTCTACAAAGAATTTGTGAAATTCCTTTGTGAAGTCTTAGCTTTCTATATTTAGGGTTGTTTTAACCAAAAAAAAAACAATTTTACATGAGTTCTAAGTAAATATTAAAAAAAAATTAAAAATCAATGCAAACTAATAGAATTTGGAAATAACTTATGGTATTTTAAAAGAAAAATAAAATATAGATAATAAACACATACCCCTTGATGTAAAAGCAAAACTATACAAATTCTAGTAGACTAGAAAGGCACTATGAAAAATGCATTTAATTCCATGACATATTTTGCATTTTTATAATTATTCAAAACGTAAAAATTCATTTACGTAATGACTAATAGTATTCATTTTGTTCCAAATATAGTCTTAGAAAATATTATTGCAATTATACAAGTATCTCTTTTAATATATTTCTTAATAGAAGGACTTAGATGATAGTTTGGACATTTTGATGATGCTAACTGTTTTGGTCCCTCAAGTTTCTTTTTTTTTTTTTTTGGGGTTATGGGCTTGGGAATATAGAAATCCGGTTCAGGATTTGAGGCTTCTGTGATCTTCATCCATTAAAACCTATTCCGCTCACCATTTTCTGGTGGAAATGCATGGATCTTATTCTGCTCACCATTTTCTGAATGCTATGGAAGGAGATGAATAGAAGTGCTTTTGAAGGGGTAGAGGACGAGAGACATTTTAATAAGATTAGGTACAGATAGTTCTACACTCTCGGAATTTTTATTTTAGATCGTCATCTTTATTCAACGGAGGATTTTAGGGATTTTATTAACATTTTGGTAGATATGTAAATATTTGTACATGAGTTGGCATCATCTTGGTGCCTGTTAATATAATTCATATTTTAATTTGAAAAAAAATAATAATTGTTTTTCAGCACTAATTATGTCCCAGACAATTTTTTGTCTGCAGTTTGCACTTTCTTCAAACTATTTGCATTCTCTTCTGGCACTTGAAAGGTCTCCGAAAATTTCTTCCACTTGATGAGCCAATTCCTCTTGTTTGGCTTCATAAGTGGTTTTGTCCTGTTCAGAACATTGTCCTGTGCATGATTCTCCTAACAAATCTTTTTTAGGTCTTAAGTTGATGCTGAAAAGGAACATAGACTCACACTTGGTAGCACAGTAGGTCATTATAGGATTACTCATTCAAAAACTTCCAAAAATGCATTTTGAAACCAATGCTAGAATTTTAAAGTTATTTGTACAATACTAGAGAGATTTTACTTGAGATCTTATTATCAAGAGAAAATTGAAAAAACAGAGATTTTGTGAGGGTATTCAGCCAAGGCAAGATCAGTAAGGGCTTATTAATGGATGGAGCAGTGATTTTGTAGGTTCAGAAAGAAACTCTACTTCTATAAATAAAGCCCAGATAAGTCTATTCATTCCTATAACAGACAATAAGTAGATATGGATGCATGAGAACCATAAAACTAACACATATAGAGTAGGTAACCCCCTGAAAAATTTCTAAAATTAGTTGTTGCAGAACCTAGAAGTAAAACACCTTGAGCAACTGGAATAACTGGTAGAAAAACTAAAAATAAACTAATTGCTTATCTTGGCTTGCTTTTCCTAGCTGACTGTTTAAGAGTCTATGATACCGTCATGAATGTTTTAGAAATTGAACTATCTTCAAATAAATTGTTTAAGTTGTTTTTTTTTTTTTTTTGGGAAAACAAGGAACTTAATAAGGTCTGAAATCTTGTATCTCGTGCTTGAGAACTATTATCATAGTCAGATAGTATTTCTGCACACTAATTAAATATATACATCAACAGCAGGGATAATCCTTTTTCTCTGTGCCACATAATGTCAGTAAGGACTTACTTAAAGTTAACTGGAGTTATACAGGAAGACAGATGTGTGAAAAGAACCAGAGGGAAATTAGGCAAGAAGGTAAGATGATTTCTGTTGAAGGAGATTTTCCTGGCTGAACAGAGCTAAGGTTTTTGTAGAAATGGTAAAAGAGTTTCTTGAATCAGAATAAATGCATTCATAATGACAGATAAAGACGACTTAGAGATGCCAGTTCACTAGAAAGGTATTGTTAGAGTCTGGACTTCATTTGAGATAAGTCCTCTTGGCTACATCCAAGTGAATTTCAGTTTTCCCAAACCCAACTTTTGACTGTTGCAATTGTAACTGTTTTTTGTCCTTATCATCTAGGCTTTCTTTTATTATTTATGCAATGCCATGGTTCTGCAGGCCCGTACAAATCTTATTCAAGCTATTGAAACTGGTGACATCAGTCAATTAGTGGATCCACGACTTGAAAAGCATTATGTTGAAGGTGAGATGTTTAGAATGATTGAGACAGCTGCTGCATGTGTCCGTCATTCTGCTCCTAAACGTCCACGAATGGCACAGGTAGTTTTAATGACCGGTTTCCTATTTCTTTCATCCTGCCTTGTCCTGGATTTCCCAATTAAAGCAATAACTGGAACAAACGAAAAGCTCAGTGAATCATTGAAGACATGTAAAAATGATTCTCAATTCTAGTTTTACGGAGTCAAACACATTTTCTTTTGGTTTTACTAGGTGGTGAGAGCACTGGACAGCGAAGCAGAAATGTCTGATCTCAGTAATGGGGTGAAAGTTGGTCAGAGCACTGCTTATGATTCTAGTCAGTACAGCAAAGATATCTTGGAATTTAGAAGGATGACATCTTACTTTAATGAAAACTCAGAGTATGACACATGGAGTGAGGAATATTCATCTAGGAACACACCCCATGGACACTCAACATCGAAGAGATCCAGAGAAAGTTCAAGTGAATATGCAAGTAATGAGTCTGAAACTCGAGCTTTCAACTCCTATAGTGGTGAGAGAAATTAAACACAGCAACTATGGTGGCCAACAGTTTAAATGAAGGTGAACTTCTTGATTTTCCAGCATTGTGGTTTAAAAAGCCATAGGTGCCTTAGATTTGCTTGGTACCACAAAAATTTTCTTATGCATGTCAATAATAATGCTAGATTCTTAGTTCATTCAAAACAGCTTAGCATATTATCATAGGAGTAAACCTCCAAATTATGATTTCTACCCTTTTTTCCCCTTTGCCTTCTTTTGTGTAATGGGTGCAGGGTGGGGGTGAGGTTGTTGACCAAGATATCTTCAACTGAAGCAGGATGATTTCAGTCCTTGAGAGTGTATTCGTGAGGAATTACAAAATATATCTTGACTGAATATTTAAATATATATACGAAGTTAGGTCTTGATGACTAATATCAGCCCTGTCTCCTTTTTCTTTCTTTCTCTTCTTTTTGAATATATCTTCTAATTGACAATGATATATTTAATTTAATAAATTTCTGTCAATTATTGACTAACTACTCCTAAAATATCATCATTTTATCTTCTCTTGTTTCTTTCTTCCATTTATAGGTGTGGTCTAAGATAATCCTGTCTTAAAAAATAACTACCCATGACTAGTAGTCTTATTACAGTTACAGATTTTATAAAATGTCAATTTCAGAAACTGCTTCAAAAAGTAAGATGGTTAACTACTACAAACTCACAGTAACATATAACCAGGTTATCTTACAATTACATCAGTAGTTACAAATCAGAGTCTCAGAAATAAGATACGGGATAAAACCATCTGGTTAACTATTTCCCACTTATATAATGCTTCCAGCAAATAGTTAAATACCATATGTCATTGCATTTGGAAATATTAACCTACTGTATTTAGTGACATTGTTGAGTAAGTGCAGCTTTCAGATTCCTTGGTTGAGCCTCTGATTTCTTCGTTCTCTGTTGGATTTTTATTTCGTACTTGGTTTTGTGGAGCTTGTTATATTGATCAGAGAATCTTTTAGTTTCTTTGGTTGAATCCCGTCTTTGTTTGCCTTGCAAAACAAAAAGGTTTGCAAATACGAATTATATTCAAGAGCTCAGATGAAAAGAAAAGCAGAATCAACAGAAACTTGATATGGTATTGAAAATCCAACTAGTTCTTTGAGGCCTAAACTGAATCTGAAATGAACAGCATCATGCTGCAACCAAGTGATAGAATCTTCTTCAGTAAAATTCTCAAAGTTACGATAAATCATTGCACAAAACCAGTCATTAGTTGCTTGATTAAACCTGAATCTTCAATGAAGCTCCAAACAGCCCAAAATATTATCAAACTCCTTAAATTCTCAGTTTAATACTAAGATCCAGATGGGTGTCAATCTTACCTCAACCTGAAGGATATTGAGGACATTGCCTCCATAAGTGGTGATATTGGCATTAACCACAAAAAGGTCTAAAGACTGTAGAGCATCCATCAGTTTCCCAAATCCACCTCGCTTATGCTCCTGGAGGAACTTGATCAAGAACTCTCTTTCCCCAATTCGGTTCACTTCCACATGCATCTTTAAAAAAGGATATAGAACAATTGTTAGTGGAGCATTTGATTAAGTGAAAAATTTTCCACTGTTACCTCTTCTTGCTAGATGACAATAAACTAGAAAGCCTCTAGGAGTAGTTATTTACCTCAGTATTTCTATTTCTTTTCTCATAAGAACCAGAACAGCTCTGAATCTGATCAGAGGCAAGCTCAGTGTCCTCTTGTACCCTGTCTGACTTTGTGACCTTCATGTCTGTATTATTCAATTTGTGCTCCTCATCTTCAATTTTCTTGAGCTCGTCCTGGAGCCTCTTTATTTCTTTCTGCAGCTCCCCTATGTATTCAATTGCATCACCAATGATAGCAGCTCTGTCCATCTATAAGGGTTCATGAATGAATGAAACAAATATAATTAAAGAAAGAAAAGGAATTTGATTTTTCTCGACAGTAACTGACAGTTATAATGAACCTTTGATATTTTGGGGACTATAGCACGTAAAGCAAACAGCCCGTCTTTGATCCTGTTTCTCCTATTCCTCTCCGTTACAAGATTCTTAGATTGGTATGTTTCACTTCCTGGCTGCCGGATAGCTTTTGAATTACCTCTGGCAACCTTAACGTTGCAATTCAAAGCCACGCCAGCTTGTTGCTTGATCAAAATATCCCCATTCCTGGATCTTTTAAATCCAAAAAATTTGCCAACGGACTCTTTCAGTGGCTCATTTTGGGAGCCATAACAGGGATTGGAATCAAAGGATCCCTGCTTACTAGGAGGATGGGAACTGCTTGATGATCCATCAAAGCTGGGATAGATGTGAGATTGGGTTACTTGGGTAAGAACTTGAGTTTTGGGAATTAAGGTTGGCAAACGGAGAACAGGTTGCAAGTTCTGTAAGTTCGCTTCAGCTGGTGGATCAAGATCTTCACCAAGGGTCATGTAGCTTTGTGCAGTCATTTCTTGTTCCGAGGAGGCATCATAAAGAGATGTAATTAACTCTATAATCTTCACATCTTTTGGTGTCTGAAAAAAGTTTATTATATTCTCATCAACTAGAGTCGTGGGAACAAAAAAAACAAATAACACACACCGGGAAACTGGAATATATAAAACAAATTGGAGAGTAGATATTTGTGCTGATTTAACGTATAACAAATAGTCTTACATTCTTTGCAGCAAAGAGCTCAATAAGACCACCAAGAACAGGGATCAGAACCCGAGTCCCTGTTGTTTCCTGTCAAATTTATATTATCCCAAGTCAAAGTTTAGGTAGAAAATCATCTTCATTATAAGACCCTCTACATTCTCAATAATTCCTTTCACTAAAGAGTGAAACTAGAAAGGGAACCTAGAGTAAATACTCTTTTTTAAATCTCAAAACTTGATTTTAAAATATTTCTTTCTTAGAATCAAAAAGTAAAGCAGAACTCAAGCAATTGTAATTATTTTGGACCCATTCCCTTTCGTCTGACACCTTTGAGAACTACAACTTCTGCCGTTGTCATGCGGATTCCTCTTTCTTTGTAAACCAAAACTGTATCACGATATATTTTAATAAACAAAAAAATTTGAAGATTTAACATCTACACATTTCATATACCCATGAGTAACCACTACCAGTTACGAGACAATATAGTCGCAGAGATTCTACTCTGTTATTGTCTCTGCAACCAAATGGACAATTGGACAATTTTAATCTATTTACTAGAGATTGAGCAAAAAGGGAGGCTTAAGTATAAGTACCAACATTCGAAGGTTTCGAGTCTGAGGAACCGCCATAGCTAATCCATCTAGGTTGTTTTGATATTACCACGTCCCCGTGGATCCTGCTTTTTCCATCAGACGTTAGAATGGTTCTGGGTCCTTGGATCCCAAAACGTAATATCAAATGGTTGAAAAAGGAAAATAGAGATTACCCAGAATACAGAGACATGGACAGAGGAAAATGAGCGAGAGCCTCACAAGCCTTGCTCCTAACATTATGCCGATACCTTTCATCCCGGCACAGACCAACCAACTCTTGCTTTCCTCTTTCAACCTTAACCCTTGCGCCTCCACTGCAACAGCAACCCACCCATTCAATAAACCTACAACGATCACCAAATGAATTTACAAAAACTGCAACATGACAATATGAAACTGAATTGGGTGAGGAAGGTGGAGGAAAATAGTTAAAAAGGTCAAGTACCGGGAATGTTCATCACCCAATTTCCATACAACGCAGTAGTCCCATGCGAGGTTCTCGATACATGGTCTGAGCCACTCCACTGCTATCTTCATACTTCTCATGTCTCCTTGTATATCACAGAAGTAAGTCTGTGTCTCCCTGTATTATAAGAATAGTGTTGTACAAGAAACTTGGTGGGAAAGCAAATGATGCTAAACGACTACGTCTGTCATGATTGGGGAGGAGAGGAGCAAATCTGTGACAGTGGAATCTGATGCAGTGAAAAAGCCAGTGGCAGGTCTGTTTTGACCATGTGCTAACAAAAATGGCTTTAAAACAATCTCCTCTGACACCTACCCGTATGGCCGTTACTGAACGTCATTTTGGCTATTATAATTCCTTTTTCCCATCAAATAATTTTCACCTAACAATTTGTTAAATTCTTAAGTGTTTCAAGAACAAATGAATCAAAATATTTCACAAACATTATTAGTTAATTTTAAATAAAATAATTATATTTATGGTTTCTTTCGACTCATTTTACTTCCGAAGAGATTCATTAAGTTTCCAACTCTAAGGACGGCATCTGGGTGTTATTTTATTTTTCTGATTGAAGTTATTATTGATGAAGGAATCTGTACCAGAGAAGATGTGTTATGAGACTGTGAAGAACGAGGGAGGTGTACACTATTCTGCATTCCAGTTGAATCTTTACTGTATCATATTCATGATAGACATCGTAATTGACATTTCTAATTAATTACATACTTGTTCAAGCTGCAAGTTAAAGATGAGATAAATAAGAAACTAAAAAGTACAAAAGAAAGAAAAAATAACTAAAACGATTCTGATAATAAGTATTAGAAATTCCATCCAGCAGAAGAAGGAAATAACTATCATGCAGGGCCCTTGAACTCCCCATCATCACCATGTCTGAACTCGCCTCTAATTTCTCCATTCTCCTGCACTTTGAATCCTCTGGGATCTCCATTAATGCGTACTCCAGGCTTTCCAGACGGGATTCTCTTATGATCGAATCCAAACTCGAGGTCTCTGTTATTCTTTCCGCCTGCAGCTTGTCTGGGAACTGGATTAATCTTCTTCTCCAATCCAAATTCCAGATCCCTGTTCTGTCTGGGTTCCCATTCTTTGTGAGGGAAATTTTGGGTCTGTTTAGGAGGCTTCTTTTGTTGTTGTTGTTGTTGTTTGTGCTGGTTCTTGTGGGAGCGCCTGTTGCAGAGCCTGCCAAGAAAGCAAGCTATGGCTGATATAACAACTATAACAGCTAGGACTATAAAGACTGTCCCAAAAGATCCATTAGAGTGGGACGATGAAGACGATAACAATGATGATGGGGGTGGCCTGGTTACTGTGTTAGGATAAACAAGAAGAGGCTGCTGTCCTTGTTGTTGTGGTTGAGAGGACATTTTGTCTGGTTGGATAGAGAGAAAATTGGAGGCAACAGAGGGGGTTTAGAAAGAGAAGATTTTGTTCTTTGAGTGCAGATAAAGAGAGCTTAGGGCCAAAACTGATGAAACAAGTAACAGGATTGCTTATGAGGAGTGGTTATGTATATAATGGAGATGTAAATGTGATTATTTTGAATTCAAAAAGAGAGGAATTAAACTTTTCTTTAATAAAGAACACAAGTAAAGATATTCTTAGTCTTGTTTTAGGTATGAAGAAGAGGAGGAGGGAGCCTAAACTTTTGCTTTGTGAGGAGAGAAAGTGAGAGTTTGGCTGCCTTTGGGTCAAGCCAATCTCAACTCCCCATGAAAGTGCTTTATTAATCATTGGAATGGATGATTTCCCATCTAAAGGAAATTATTCCATCCCACATAGTTTCTTTATCCATTTAATCAGCTAGCCATGCCCACAATCATTTATGGAAGAATCATGTGATTGATGTTTTCTATGAAAAGATTTATTATTCACTCTCAATAATTTAAATTTAAATTTAAATTTTTAAATATTAATAATAATTCATATTCAAAAATTTGTTGAGTTAACTACTTTTATATTTCAAATTTTAAAAAGATTTATTGGTTTTACTTTTTAATTATCGGTAATTTGAATTCAATTTTTCGAACGAATAATTTACATATAAAAATTATTAATATCAAGGGTCATATTGCAACTAAAAATATTGATTTTTATGTGAAAAATACATATTAAGGATATTTTTGATACAATATTTATACCCCTCAATTTAATTTATGGATAAACAAAAAAAAAAATTAAATATTTGCATATCTAATTAATTATTATATTTATTAATTTTAAACAGAACGGATTAAGATTTTTTTTAATTCAACGAGAACAAATTAAAAAAATTAAAAATACATATATTTAAATTGACAAGTAAAATAGAATCTTAAATAAATTACGTGTTACGAGAGCAGATAAAGTATTTACGACTACTTAATTATGAATAAATCATGTTGTTTGAGGAACTTTTAGCGGTGTTAGCAAGTGGAAGAATTAAGGAAAAGCCTAAACCAACTACAATTTATTTTTGATTAGGATACAAATTGATGTTGGAAGGAATATGCTTAGGAAACTATATGATAAGCAAGTGATGGTTAATGAGAATTTGGAAGGTTTAATAAAGGAGATATTTTTGAGGTGGAGTCGGAAGTTGTGGGCTATAATAATATAAGAAGGTAAATTGGGATGTGTGTTAAGGGAAAGCAAAGTAAGAACAAGTTATGTAGTGGGTTTTGTCTGTCGTCTTTATTCCTTTCTTCTCTTTCTCTGTTTAAGTGTTAGAATAAATGACCTTTAATTAATTAATAATAATAATGTACTTTTGAGATTCCAAATTAATCTGCTGTAGCTGTACCCAGATGTTCTTGATGGGTTGTACATGCACATATATATATATCTCAAAAATATAAAATAAAATAAAATTTGTCTTAATCAAACACAATTATAACCTATATATATATATATACATACATGTAATTAATTTGAACATATATTTAATCTTAGTAAATAATTATAAATAATAAAAAAAAAGGCACACACAAGTGGTTTCAAAACGAAATCCAACCTAAATGCTATCATAATAATCTATCTGCATTACACCAAATTAGCAACCAATAATTCTAAGTGAAGATCATTTATTACTTTCTACCGTGGGCTTAATTTGAGGTTAATAAAAATTACAAATGGTGGCGAACAACATTGGTGGATGCCTCTTTTTTTCTCTCTTCCCACCACTGTTTTTCCTGTTTCTTCCATATCCAGCAGGTAACACTTTCTCTTTTTTCAATCATATTTCAAATAAATGGAATTTAATCAATAGGATTTTAATTTATAAATTTATACTTGTTTTCAACTGTTATAAGATTATAAATTTAAAGCACAGTTGAAAGTAATATACTTCAAATTGCATTCTTTTTAAAAGTATACATGCATGATAGTATTAATACATTCTACAAATATATAAAGAAATGACGTACTAAAAATTTAGAAATCGAATAAAAGAGATTTATATTCAATCTCTTAAGATTAGGGACCGGACTGGTAAATTTTGAAAAATTATGTGTTCTAATCGTAATTAGCTCGTATAAAAAAAATTATGTTGTAGTTAATTATTACGTTAATGAAATTTATAAATTTCAACGTAAAAGAATGCCTACTAATTGCAGGTGGTGCGGCTATTGGGATATGCTACGGCCGGGTAGCCGATAATCTGCCGCCATCCTCAAAAGTAATTGACGTCCTTAAATCCAACGGCATCTCAACTACTCGCATCTTCAACGCTGATGGACCCACTCTGCAATCCTTTTCCGGCACCGGAATCAGTCTGATGATCGGCGTCCCTAATGAAATCCTCCCTTCTTTAGCCTCCGGCACCGCTCTCTTCTCCCTTCAGTGGCTCGAAACCAACATCCTCTCTCACCTTCCTTCTTTCCAAGTCCGCTACATCGCCGTCGGCAACGAGGTTTTCTCCATAGACCCATTTTATTCTCCTTATGTCGTCCCAGCCATGATCAACCTTTACCACGCTCTCCAAGTTCTCAACCTCACAGACTCCATTAAGTTATCGTCGCCGCAAGCGGCTTCTGTACTTTCCATTTCATACCCACCTTCCGCCGGCACCTTCAATCCCTATTTACAGTCCGTTATGGTCCCTCTCCTGCGGTTTTTAGACAGCACTAAATCTCCTTTCATGATTAATGTGTACCCCTACATCAGCTACTTGAACAGTTTTGAGTCTGTAACACTGGATTACGCGTTGTTCAGGAGCGGTGATAACGAGATTCAGGATGGGGGATTGACGTACGGGAATCTTTTCGACGCGAGTGTGGACGCGGTTGTGTATGCGATGGAGAGAGAAGGGTTCGCCGGAATTCCACTGGTAGTGACGGAGACGGGGTGGCCGACGAGCGGGGGACTGGCGGCGAGTAAGGAGAATGCGTTGGCTTATAATGGGAATGTGGTGAGGAGAGTGCTGAGTGATGTTGGGACTCCGAAGATTCCAGGTAGAGGTGTGGAGGTTTACCTGTTTGATCTGTTTGATGAGAATGGGAAAGGTGGGGAAGAATACGAAAAGCATTTTGGGATATTTGGGCTTGATGGGATGAAACTTTATGATCTTGCATTTAATTAATCACAAATTAACTCTGATTTGCAAATTTTAACTTGGGTGCTCTTTAAATTTAATGGAACCAACATAAAATAATAATTATTATTATTTTATCTAATTTTTATTTATCAAGACTTAATTCACTTATTATTATTTTTTCTTATTAATAATTAATAAAATTTTTGTTCTTAATTCAGAATGTGTGAAGAAAGCAACGTGTGGAGGTAGTCAAATTATGTTATAAAACTCAATATATAATCACGTTCTTAAGAAACATGCAACTTTGGTCATATTTCCATTAGTATTTTGTAACAACATCTCTGTGTGTGTGTGTGTATATATAATCATCACTTTGGTTATGTTGCATATTGCAAGATAATAATACAAGTTAATTTTGTATGTATAACAATTATTTCACGACAAAGAAAAAGGGTTGATACATCTCCACAAAGAGGAAAAGGCTTTCAAAAACGTCTTTAAAAGTATGCCTTGGTTTTCATTACCACCTTTCAAGAACAAAGGCTATGAGAAGTTAACTCGATATTTTGAGATGTTAAGAATTCCCATCTCAATTATTATTGGATCATATAGGAAGAATCTTCTTTTCATTTTTATTGAAGCAATTGAAGATCATTGAATTCTAGGTTACCTTTTTACACCAGAAAGTTTGCAGCGTGTAAATTTATAAAAATATTGAAAAAAAAAACATGAATCTTGAATATATTATTAGAAAATATGGAACAGTTTAAAAATAATAATAATTTCTTTCTTCTTTTTTCATTTGCTAAATATTTAGCCAATAACTACTCTTTTATTCAATCGTTGTTCCCTTATATTTCTTTTTAAATCCTCCTTCATTTCATGTGTCTTTTTTAGTAGGGAAGAACATTCCCTTAATTTCTCAACACATCGATGTCGGTCACACCATGCTTTTTTAACAAAACTTGTTGAAACACACCACAAGATTAAGTAATGTGAGTATGGGCATGAACCATGTGATAGCTTAAAAATACATCCAAATGTATTTTTCATATTTAATATATTTAATTTTAATCTTATATGTATTAGAAAATATATAATAATGTTAAAAATATAGTTTAGAGTTAAAGAAAAAAAGATGAATAAGGATAAAAGAATTAGAATAAGTATGAAAAGATATAGAAAAATGTAGAAACCTTCTAAATGAAGTGATATAATAAAAAATGATAACTTTTAGATAAATTGACATGTGAAAAATGATTATTTTTAGATGAAATAACACAAAAGAAAGTAACAATTTTTAGATGAAATGATATGAAAAAAGTGTTAATCTTTTAAATGAAATAGTCTGTGAAAAGTTGTAAATTTTTAAATAAATTGACATGTGAAAAGTGATAATATTTTAGATAAAGTGGCATGTAAAAAATAGTAACATTTTAGATAAAGCGGTATGTGAAAAGTGATAACTTTTTAAATGAAGTGATATAATAAAATATGATAATTTTTATATGAAATGACATGACCCAATGATAATAATTTTTATTTTTAATATAGGATAGGAGAATGGAGAAAGAGACATTTCGGATGAGAGAGAAATAATGAGAAGCATAGATGTGAAGAAGAAGAATGAGTACGAAGTGTGTAATTTTTTAGAATATTTTAAGGTTTTAGATACAAACCTTAAAAAAAAAAAAAAAACTCTACTAAATTTATGAGAGCAAAGGAAGAGAAAAAGAATATGAAGAAAGCTTACGGTTAAAAGGAGATTATAAACAATTAGAAATGTAAGCATTTTTTGAGTTTTGAAATTTGATTTCTCTCTGATTTTTGGATTAGTTTTTTAATATTGTATTAGATATTTTTAAGTCAAAAAAGTGATCAAAATTATCTCAGAAATCTACTAGATTTTGAGAAGAAAACATCATAAATAAAGTTAGAACTTTGTCGAAATTAAGATTGCGTGCTCCACAAGAAAATTAAAAGGTTTGAAATACGACTACTAAAGATCTAAGTTAAGTGAATATTATAAATTTATTAATTTACGTAGTTTAAAAATATTTTACGCATTTTCAGTAATAAAGTTATATATTTTTAAAAAATATTATTTTGTATTTTTGTATTTGTTAAGCAAGTATTTGTTAAAATTTTACTTCAATATGAATGATAGTTCATTTTCTGTTATTGAAATATAATTTTGATATGTGTGCATTACTCATTATGAAAATAAGTTATTCCGAAAGTACTGCGTTATACTAGACTTAATATAATC